ATCTATCATGGATGCTTGAGCTGAGATTCCTGCATTGCTGGGAGTTGGACTAGATGATCCTTTGGGTCCCTTCCATCTCTATGGTTCTATGACTCCCCTGCCTCTGATTCTTGCCTCTTGGCTGGTATGGGTCCGCACAGACCACTGACCACTGCCCTCCTCTCCTAAACCAATCTCCAGCCCCACTTCCCCCAATTCATGCTGGTCAGCGCCTGGCCATCTCTACCACACCACCTCAAATCTCCTGTTCCCAATCTCAGCGAATTCCCTTGTCAAAAGAAAAGAGATAGTGTCTATTTCCACCTCCCTCCCCACCCCACTGCTCTCCATGAACTGACTTTGCCCGGGAGAATTTCAGATCTCTTATTCATTGTAATAATAACTTTCAGAAAGGGAGAGAAACCTCTGATTTTAACTAGCAATCTCTAGGGAGCCCGTGATGCCACTTCTCATTCTGGATTTGAAGAAATGAGGGCAATGCAATAGAGTTTCAAAAATGCAGCAAAAAAACCACACAAAACTCTCATCTACAGGCATCACCTGGCCATATCTTGACTTGCATAAAGACATAGCCACACTCACAAAGCTAATCATAGAGTTGGAAGGAACCCAGAGGATCATCTGCAAATAAGAATAAATAAATTATTATTATTATTATTATTATTATTATTATTAGCCTCTCCAATGCTTCTGTCCCTGGGTCTACCAGGGGTAGGGCTGCCAGGCCAGCTTTGGAGTGGCAGGAACAGTGCCAGGACTTTCCTCCACTCTGTCCCCAGCTCAGACCTGACCCAGGAGTGGAACTGCAAATGGGTGCTGCACATGGAGCCCAGCTGAGGAGAAAGGCAGCAAGGCTGATGACTCTCCTGAACTTCTCCCCCAGGTCAGGTTTGACATGGAGATGGGAATAGAGCTGCTGTAGTCACACACAAGGAAGCTGCTCTAATGAGAGAACCTGTTCTGGGGGCGCCTGGCTGTGCCCCTCCTAAAAAAGCGCCCAGGGCCATGGCCCCCTCAGCCCCCCATGTTGTGCCACTGTCCCCCATGATGATGATGATTTATACCCCACCCATCTGGCTGAATTTCCCCAGCCACTCTGGGCGGCTTCCAACAGAATAAGAATAAGAATAATGCGATAAAACATCAAACATAAAAAACTTTCCCAAACAGATGTCTTCTAAAACTCAGATAGTTGTTTATCTACTTGACATCTGATGAGAGGGCGTTCCACAGGGCGGGCACCACTACCAAGAAGGCCCTCTGCCTGCTTCCCTGTGACTTCACTTCACACGACTTGCACAAAAACGCAACAGCCAAGTGACTCTCATGAGAGCATGGCTCCCCGAAATGGTCATCTTTCAGGGCAGTATACAACCCCCCCAAAATGGGCATTTTTGGGGGGCAGCACTCTCATGAGAACGGGTGACTTGTGCAAGAATATACTGCCCCCCAAAAAACCCAGACTTCTTTTGGGGTTACGCTCTTGCAGGAGCCAAAATGGGACATCCCGGGATCAAATCAGAAGCCGGGATGACTTCTGTAATTCTGGGATGTCAATTCTGGGATGTCCCACTTAAAACGGGACAGTTGATGGGTATGCCACAATAAAAAACAACAACTACAAAACTGCTAACTTAGGTATCTTCAGTACAATTTGCTTAGTTGTCTTCTCTGTTGTGAATGCCTTCTCTTTAAGAAGGATTCCCCTCAAGGCCTAGGCTGGCTCGGGGTGTCTGTCACCACAGCCTTCCTCATTACATATCACAAACTCTCGACAATGATTCTCCTGGAATCCAATTTAAGCACAAGTTGCCAGGGAGTCCCTGGGAGCTGTGAATGTGTCAGTAACCTGTCAAGCACCCGCATTATTCATCATGGTTATTGGGCCTCTGCCAGACAGCCTACAGCAATTTGGTTGAGTTTCTTCTCTGTGGAACGCATGTATAGTGATGAATAGTGCTTGCTGCTTAATTTAATAACATTAAGAGGGTCTTATTTGTTTTGAGATCATGTCCATTCCTAGAGGTATAGCCTTCCTGCCCAGGCCATCAGGCAGCAAAACCAGTCACCGGGTTGAATGAAACCTAACAGCCGTTTGCTCTAAATGTCCCTTCATCAGCCTTTAACAGCTCACTGTATGCAATGCAGACCGCAGCAAGAGGGCACTGAAGAAGGCATTATGGAGCAAAGAGCTTCAGAAGATCCAAACGGGTAAGTGAACTGCATGGAGAGATCCCATGCCATGTGGCCAACAGCCGATCCACAGGCTTTGGAAGAGAGGACACCAACGGCAACCATAGGGGATGAGATCCACAAGGTCCCAGGAAACACACTGGAGAAGCAGCTTCTGCACATTCCTAAACCAAATCTCGTTGCCACAGGTAGGTCATTCATTGCCTTTGAGATGTTGCTGGATTCTAGCTCCCATCAACCCCAGAACATTGGTCAAGCTGGCTGAGGCTGATGGGAGTTGCAGCCCAGCCTGCAAGGCCATCACTTCCCCATCTGGGACCTCAGCTAGTAAATAAAACTGGAAGAACTCTCTAGGCCCATCCAGCAGCCAAAGGAACAAATAACTGCTTTCAAGCAAGAATGCCAGCAAGGCAAGTTCAGCCTGGTCCAAACTGGATAAAAATGTCTGCAGCTTACCAGTTTATTTTGTCCCTCAATAACTGATCTCCCTCCTTGACATTTTCCCTTCTTTTGTGTTTCTTTGCTTTTCAGGTTGTGAGTGGCTTCTCTCACTCTTGTTCTTTTCAACTGATGTTGATTATCTGGAAAGCTGGCTATGGAGCTGGATTCAATAAACGAGTCCAGTGAGCAAAAGCCAGTGGAAGTTCTTCCACAGGCTGAAATGCATTTTTTTATTATTATTATACCCCATCTTTTAAACCAAGGAGCTCCAGGTGGCAAAAAGGAGTCTCCCCTTCCTCGTTGAACCCCTGCAACCACAGGAGCCAACTCCTAGGGGCTGAGGTCCCTTCGACCCCCAAATGAAATATTTCAGGGGGTGCCCCAAAGTTGATTGGCATTGCTATTCCAGATGATGTGCATGCACTGTGTTTTGTGATCAGTTATACAGGGTATGGCTTACATAAGCCTCACCTCCATATTTTACTCAGGTTGGCACCCTGCCTTCCAACAACCCTGTGAAGTAGGTTAGGTTGAGAGAGGAGGTGATTATTACTCCCCTAGTAAGCGGGTGGCACTGTGGGTTAAACCACAGACCCTAGGGCTTGCTGATCAGAAGTTTGGCGGTTTGAATCCTCACGACGGGGTGAGCTCCTGTTGCTCAGTCCCTGCTCCTGCCAACCTAGCAGTTCAAAAGCACACCAAAGTGCAAGTAGATAAATAGGTACCACTCTAGTGGGAAGGTAAACGGTGTTTCCATTCACTGCTCTGGTTCGCCAGAAGCGGCTTAGTCATGCTGGCCACATGACCTGGAAGCTATACGCCGGCTCCCTCGGCCAATAAAGCGAGATGAGCGCCGCAACCCCAGAGTCGGCCACGACTGGACCTAATGGTCAGGGGTCCCTTTACCTTTACCTTTAAGTAAATAACAACAGGCAACAAAGCACAATGGATAAAAATAAAGCACTTTACACATGAGTAGTCCAAATAGTGCCCTTCAGAATTCACCTCCAGTCACCCCTCAGTCAGCACAGCCAGTGGTCAGGGAAGAGGAGAGCTGAAGACCAACAACATTTGTAGAGCACAATGTCGGCTGTCTCTGAATTAATAGACTTCCCTTATTTGATGCAGTTAGCGCTGCCTCTGCTCTCTGTTTTTGACCTTTGGAGTAAAAAAACAAACCCTCTCCTTCTCCATGGTGATTGTGATTTTAATATCAGTAGGTATTTTTAACCAGCTAGGAACAGAACAGGTGACGTCTGCCATGAATTTTTGTCTTCCACCTCAAGATACAAATTTAGTCTCCCACCTCAAGATACCTGTTGTGGAGTACCTCTTTACATAACTCTTGTTCTCTGAAGTGTGGATCGCTTTGATCATCAGCTCAGGTACAGGATCATGCAACAATATCTCGCTCCCTGGGTATGGTCAGCCTGGAAAAGAGGAGGCTGAGAGGAGATATGACAGCTATCTACAATTATCTAAAGGGCTGTCACATGGAAGATGGAGCCAGTTTATTTCTTCCAGCTCCAGAGGTATAAAAAAAGGAGAATTGCTTGGATGCCAAGATCCTGGTTTGGGGCAAATCCTCTTTGGTGAGTGAATCCCAGAAGAGATTTAAAATCACCAAAAATGTATCAAAGTAAAGCATGCGAAAATAGGCAATTGGACCTTTAAAATATACCATTTCCAGTTCCTTCCAATGTTTCCCATTTCCCCTAGCATGGAAAAAGACCACACATTTAGTAAATTTGAAATGGTTTACTTATGAACTCTCCAAAGGCAGTGACGGACTGTGGCATCTGAAATTTCAATGTGCAACACCCAAATTTGGTGCCTGTCCCTGCCTCTTGCCTTCTGTTGGACATCATAGTTGTGGCTCCTGCTGCAGCGTCCGAGAAGCTGCACGCCTGGTGCTATTGAACCAGTCGTGCTCCCCTGGATCTGCCTTTGGCAAAGGTCAGATTCATGTACACAGGCTTTTGAAAAAGTTGCACAGGCAATAGAATTTGGGTGAGTTACAGCAGTGGAAGTTCCTAAATCAGGGGTGAAACTAGGCTTTATTTCACCCAGGTCAAAGGCTGAGTTTCTCTCTCTCTCACACACACACACACACACACACACACACAAACACAGACATGTGCATTTGTGTACACACACAGGCTGGGAGCCTTAATGGTGCCCCTCTGGAAGCTTCACCCAAAGCAAAAAAACCAAAACCTAGCTAGCTCCCCCATAGCTACTGCTCTGCCTAAATTATTGGTATAGGAACACAAGCATGGCTGGTAAGAGCCATGCGGTCTGAGCTGTATCAATCAGCTCAAAACATCTTCACACATTGAGCTTCTCAGGTAGACCTAGTCCAGGCATAGGAAAACTCAGTCCTCCAGATGTTTTGGGACTACAACTCCCATCATCCCTGACCATTGGTCCTGTTAGCTAGGGGTGATGGGAGTTGTAGTCCCAAAACATCTGGAGGGCCAAGCTTGCCTATGCCTCACCGACTCCTTCTCTTGGTGAGCTAAGCATGACAATACAGTGGTACCTCGGGTTAAGTACTTAATTCGTTCCGGAGGTCTGTTCTTAACTTGAAACTGTTCTTAACCTGAAGCACCACTTTAGCTAATGGGGCCTCCTGCTGCCGCCGCGCCGCCGGAGCACGATTTCTGTCCTCATCCTGAAGCAAAGTTCTTAACCCGAGGTACTATTTCTGGGTTAGCGGAGTCTGTAACCTGAAGCGTATGTAACCTGAAGCGTATGTAACCCGAGGTACCCCTGTAGCTAACAACTGTTGAACAATTTTGCCAATAAAAACAAAAGTTTTCAATGGTTTGTTGACACCCGGGTGGCATATAGATCAATATTTGTTTTATTTTAAAGGGGTGGGGTCCAGAGGGATATGGGGTGTGGCGCGAGGAAGAAAGTGAGGGGCAAAGGGGCCCACTGATCCCCTGTGCTCAAGGGCCCCCAGAAACCTGGAGGCAGCCCTGCAAGCATCTCTCCAAAGTCTTTCTAAAGAGGTCAGATGCTTTAAGGAGGGAGGTTACACAAGCTCCATTCCACTTTTAAGTTCAAAAAGCTGACACCTCCTACTCTCTCTTCCCCCTCCCTCTCCCTTTCTTAGATCTTGTGTTCACAGCTACAGCAGGGCTGCACTGTCACCCCCAAGAAGTGAGAGCTAAGGGGAGACCTTCTTTTATAACTCACTTCCAAAACATCTCAAATTGTATTTTTAGCACGCCATATTTTCACACTAGGATTGGGGATTTACTATTGGCATTTCTCATTAACACTTTTGCAAATCTGCTCTGGCGAGGAGGGGGAAATTACCAAGGAATAAAAGTGCAGGCTGCGGCTGTGGATAGCTGTGTGATGGAACAGGACTGCTGTGAGCGAGAACATGGCTGAAACAGTCTCAAAGTAGAGAAGTTACACATTTATTCTCCTTCTCCTGAGGACCGAAGTGATGCGTGGAGACCAGATCTGTCACCTCATCAACATCTACCTTCATGCTGCCTCTACAGCAGCCTTTCGGAGAATAGGAGGCACTGTTGGTCTCCTCCGCCCCTTATTCCCAGTGCAGATATTTATTACCCACCCTGCTCCTGATCTAGATATTCTACATATATGGAGGTCCCATTTTGCAACTCACTTTAGGTGCAAAAATGTTTTGGGCTGTGGATGGCTCATGTGGGGTTTTTCACTGGAGGAAATTTTTTGCAAGTTATTTTCTTAGCAGCTTCATACCACCACACACTCCAAAAAAAAAAATAATCAGGTCAGTTTTTAAATTAGTGGCTATTTTTTTGGGGGGGGGGGGATTTTGAAAGGTTCCATCTGTCATCATGATTCAAAAAGGAAGCCAGTTGTACCATCCTGATATTTTTCAGACATGGGCTGAAGACAGTGGGACAGAGCGAAAAAATCAGAGAGTCTACTCTCTCTCTGTCTTTCTTGATGGCAATCTGAGGTAAGGTAAAAGGTACAGTGGTACCTCGGGTTACAGACGCTTTAGGTTATGTGATTTCGGGTTGCGCATCACGCCGAACCCGGAAGTACCAGAACGGGTTACTTCCGGGTTTCGGCGCTCGCGCATGCACAGAAGCACTAAATTGCGCTTTGCGCATGCCCAGAAGCTCTGAATCACAACCCACGTGTGCGCAGACGTGGCGCTGCGGGTTGTGAATGTGCCTCCCGCACGGATCATGTTCATAACCCAAGGTTCCACTGTAAAAAGTAAAGGACCCCTGGATGGTTAAGTCCAGTCAAAGGCGACTATGGAGTTGTGGCGTTCCTCTCGCTTTCAGGCTAAGGGAACTGGCGTTTGACCACAGACAGTTTTCTGGGTCATGTGGCCAGCATGACTAAACCGCTTCTGGTGCAACAGGACACCATGACGGAAACCAGAGAGCATGGAAACACTGTTTACCTTCCCGTCGCAGCGGTACCTATTTATCTACTTGCACTGGCATGCTTTTGAACTGCTAGGTTGGCTGGAGCTAGGACAGAGCAACGGGAGCTCACCCTGTCACGGGGATTCAAACCACCAACCTTCCAATTGGCAAACCCAAGAGGTTCAGTGTCTTAGACCACAGAGCCACCCATGTCCCTATAGAATCTGAGGTGAAGTACCCATGTAGCAGAAATTTTCCCTAGTTCCAGTCACCATGCAGAGCCAGCTTAAGGTCCAAAATAGTTTACTGCGTCAGAAGATAATGTGTCAGTAATATAGTTCAGTTCCTCCAACATTTCTGCCACCCACTTCTCTATCGCTGCCCGATACTCTCTCCCAGAAGGATACTGTAGTAACAGCAGACCTCTCCTGCCAGAGGTCTGCACTGATTGCTTGTGGGGGTGTGAAAACAGGCCCGAGGCAATAAGTCGCCCACATAAACTTGTATAGTAAGTCAGTTGCAGGTGTGCCAGCTTCAGGGTCCCAAGGTGTCTTCAGACCCCTCAATATTTGTTGGAAGGGGGCCACTCTCCCCCCCCCATGTTTAGGGAGCCTAGTGTGCAGCGCATGTGATCTCATCCCACATGACGGTTTCAGGGACTGGCTCCTCCAAAGCACTCAGACGATGCAACATTGTGTGCAATGCACATCGCACACCTTATGTCACATATGTGCAACACACACTGGGGCCCCTCAATCTTGGGGGCAGCCTCGCACCTCTGGTCTGTCAGAAGCTATAGGCTAAAACTGGATGATATTCCTAAGGAATCAAGATCACATTGCTGCATTTGCGAAATCAAATTTGAATACTTTAAGCTCTGAAGAAGAAGAAAACATTTTTACTTCAAGTCTTAGACAAACTAAGTTGAAAGGGGAATATTACAAATCACACATTTAAAAGAAGCACGGTGGAGAAAGTATCTAAATTACAAACCTGTGATTTTAATTGTATTTGAGGCAAGTAACTGGAGGGTCATCGTTGGTGAGGGTTGTCATTGAAGGTCGCTGCAATTTAAGCATCAGGGCTGTGGAAGAGGCAGCTAACACCATGATTCCATTTGCATTCACCGAAGAAGGAACCAGAGACACCATTTGAAATATGAATTCTGAGAGGTAAAAAGCAAAGAGAACAGAGAACTGGAAGGTCACAGTATTCAATTGCTCCATGGTTACCAGTCAACCATCAGTCAAGCTTTATTGGTTGGCCACAGTACTGAAAACAGAATCTTTTTGGAGCTGGCTGACCTTACTGGAAGAATCCGCGATCAGAGAGAGGAGGAACATCAAGAAGCATGGAAGAAATTTAAGGAATATTTAGTAAAATATAAAATATAACGTAAGTGGAAATCCTTGCTAGTACTAAATTTGGTTTAGGATTAAATTATGTTGAATGTATAAAATGATGGATTGAGAATATTACAAAAAGAAAGGAAGTTAGTAATCTGAACAAGTTAATTTTATTAGAAGTGGATATTGGAAAATTGCTAAAATGAAATTTAATGAAAATCAGTTAGGAAGGATTTGAGGAAGTCACTCTTAATGGAATGTAATTTGGATTTTTAATTGTAAGGAGTTTTGAATGTATGTTTGTTTTTTTATGTTTGTTATCTGTTTGTTATTTTGTGTTGTGTTAAAATTGGAAAATTAATTTTTAAAAAATTGAAAAAAGTACTGAAAACAGAATCAGCCCCAAAACACCCCACATTTCTCATGAACTTAGAATCTGCTCCCCCTAATTCACGGGATGAAATCGAGGGCTCTAGGAGCATGCACCACAGAATCATAGAATCATAGAGTTGGAAGAGACCACAAGGCCATCGAGTCCAACCCCCTGCCAAGCAGGAAACACCATCAGAGCACTCCTGACATATGGTTGTCAAGCCTCTGCTTAAAGACCTCCAAAGAAGGAGACTCCACCACACTCCTTGGCAGCAAATTCCACTGTCAAACAGCTCTTACTGTCAGGAAGTTCTTCCTAATGTTTAGGTGGAATCTTCTTTCTTGTAGTTTGGATCCATTGCTCCGTGTCCGCTTCTCTGGAGCAGCAGAAAACAACCTTTCTCCCTCCTCTATGTGACATCCTTTTATATATTTGAACATGGCTATCATATCACCCCTTAACCTCCTCTTCTCCAGGCTAAACATGCTAAACCATACATATAAAGTACTTTCCCCCTGGGAATCCCAAGAGCTTGGTTTGTTAAGGGAACTGAAGGTTATTAAGAATCCCTATTCTTCCTGCAGACCTACTATTCCTAAAGCCTTGCGGGAAGAGGGATAAGATTGTTAAACCACTCATGGAGGAGGAAGTGGGTGGAGAAGAGATTTTTCTCTCCTCTTACTAGCATGAGAACTCATAGACATCCAATGACGCCGAATGCTGGAAAATTCAGGGCAGACAAAAGAAAATCCTTCTTCGCACAGCACGTAGTTGAACTATGGAATTTGTTCCTCCAGGAGGCAGTGATGGCCATCGACTTAAATGGCTTTAAAAGAGGCCTGGACAAATCCATGGATGTTAAGGCTATCAATGGCTACTAGCCATGGTTCCTATGCTCTGCCTCCAAGATCAGAGGCCATAGTATTTCCAAATATCATCCGCTGGAAACCACAGGAGGGGAGAGTGTTGCTCTTGTGCTCAGGTCCTACTTACAGGTTTCCCACGGTCTTCTGGTCGGCCACTATGAGAACAGGATGCTGGACTAAGATGGGCCAATGGTCTGATCCAGCAGGAGCCAGTGTGGTGTAGTGGTTAAGAGTGGTAGACTCGTAATCTGGTGAACTGGGTTCGTGTCTCCGCTCCTCCACATGCAGCCAGTGTGGTGTAGTCGTTAAGAGTGGTAGACTCGTAATCTGGTGAACCAGGTTCGCATCTCCGCTCCTCCACATGCAGCTGCTGGGTGACCTTGGGTTAGTCACACTTCTCTGAAGTCTCTCAGCCCCACTCACCTCACAGAGTGTTCGCTGTGGGGGAGGAAGGGAAAGGAGAATGTTAGCTGCTTTGAGACTCCTTCGGGTAGTGATAAAGCGGGATATCAAT